GAGGCAGGCGAGCACGCACCTCGCGTCTGAGCGCGAGTCGACGAGTGGTCGCCGAGAGATCGCCGAACCACGTTTCGAGTGCGCGCGCACACAGCACAGCTGCGGGTTGTAACTCGACTGCCGATCGCGCGTGCGGGATGTAAATGCAGCTCGCTGGCGCCAGTGCACGGTGGCAGGGACTGGAGGCTCGGCCGAAGGGGAAGAGCAGTCCTCAATCGTCACGTAGAGGTCGCTGGGCGGGATCAATCGAACTGCCACACACCTGGAGCGGAGGCACATCAGGTCTTGCGGCACACTCTCCGACAGATGCATGCCTTTTGAGCAAGCCCACGCGCCTCCACCGTCGCGTAGTATGCCAGCGGCACGCCGGTACGCCTACGAGTCGTGCACGCTCGGCAGAAATCGGCGTCGAGACTGCCTAGCGCGCACATCGAGAGCGCCGAGTTGTGTTGCCGCGAGGAATCCTGCTCGAAGATGGGGTCCGAGCGGCGCCTGATCGCATGGGATGGATCAGTGGGGCTATCACGTGGGTACTAGGCCTGCTCAGTCAGGAGTTGGCGAGTGTGTGGGAGATTCACGCCCGTCGCTCAACGTCTGTTGAAAAACTGTTCGCTGAGCAAGCTCACGGTCGAGCGGGCTTGACGCGCGCTTCAGGATAGCAAGAGGCGTGCCCACTCCCCTGAGGAGCGTGCGGGCACGCCTGGGAATCGTTTTGGAGCGACCATGGACTGGGATGACAGCCGGCGAGCGCTGCGCCAAAACCATGGCGCCGAAAAGCGTCCGCCCTCCGCGTGCTGGACGCTTCACGGCGGAGGCTGTGAAGTCGCGGCATCGAGTTCAACCTCAGCGCACGCACGCACCGTGCTGGGGAGGAGTTGGCCTGCGAGTGGCGAGCGCTCCCGAGCGCGCGGCGCCCCGTTCTGGCCATCTTGCGCTTTACCACCACAAAATCGCCTCCATTTTGCGCGCCTCCGGTGGCAGGTCTAGCCGGGCCCGATTCGTGGTACTTTTGATGTTTGCGCGCCGGATCTCGACTCCGCCGTGCTGCGGTGCGTCCCAAAGCAAAACGTGTGTCAGAGGGGCCAGATTGGCCGAGTTATAACGACGAGACCGCGTCTGAAGGCTATTTCACATTGGGCTCTCCCCCCCTTCTCGCCAACCCGCTAAATTCCAGCAGAGTTCTCTGCGCCTCGAAGTACTCGAGTGCAGAAAACGGCGGACCAGCTGCTTCCCCCATATGGCGCTTGCGCCGCGCAGCGTGGGCGCGGCATCCGGGACGGATGCGGGCCGCTAGTCTCACCCCACCTTACCTCTGCCCCCCCCTCCCCCCATCCCTCTGCCTCCCATAGGGCAGGATAGCACTAGCATATGCGCCTAGTGCGCACACTGGGCCCACATAGATGTGACCCGCCCGCTCGAGTGCGGCGTCCGGATGCTAGTGCTTGAGAAGACACCACAAACGCGGCACGGCCCGTTTTGGATGTCTGCGGAGATTCTGTCTTAGCACACACAGTGAGTCATTCGGAGTCATTCGATGGCCAGAGTGCGATTGTGTGTGTGCGGGAGTTGGTTTGTCGGGAGGGAGGGGCAGGCTGCTCACCCACGTGCACCGGGCCAGTGCTTGCACTTTGAATGCCGTGGGGCTCCTGCCCGTGTCCGGGCGTGGAGATGCGAGGGTCGCCCCCCCTTGCCCCACCACTTTGTGTGTGTGGAGAAATCTACCTTAACTTACCTTACCACACACACACACACACACACACACACACACACACACCGCTCACCCACGCGCACCGGGCCTTGCACTTTAAATGCCATGGGGCTCCTGTCGTTAGACGTGGAGACGCGAGGGTTGCCCCCCCTTGCCCCACCACCTCGTGTGTGTGGAGAAGTTTACCTTACCTTACCTTAGGCTAGTGCCATTTCGCTGTGGCACAGCTCGCGTGACAAAACCTTGATTTTGACCATTGCGCGAAAAATGTACCTCTCGGTGCCTTCCAGAGGCAGCTGCGACCCCGCCGAGTAGACGGCGTCACACAGCAGGTGGCGCGGTGTGACGCCGTCCAATCGGCTGGGTCGCAGCTGCCTCTGCGCGTCCTGGAGAGGTACATTTGTTGCGCGCCGGAGACGACTCGACCGCTGAGATCGGAGATCAAGCTCTGACAGGTCACACGTCGCTCCTTTGACGCCGACGTGACTCATCCGTGCAGACCACATCAGGACACGGTCTCGACGCGCTCGGTACGACGCCTGCGACCCGTCTCGGGTCAGGTGGCACGACGCTCATCGCGCCCGCCAGCGCTGCCGTACAGGTTGCCACGACGAGGTCGAGCACGCTTCTATACGCTCGCCGAGCCTTCCTTTCCATCCCATTAGGCAGCCTGGGAACGGTGGCGGTCAGAGGCAAAGCCTACGAGGGGTAGTGGAACCACATGTCACGGCTACTGCCGGCTCGACCCCACGATAGCGCCTCCGAGGGCTGACTTTGCGGCACCATCATCGGACGATGTCGACGAGTTGGGTCGCTCTCGCGGTAGCCAGATGACCTCTCTTCCTAGGAGCATCGGCCATGGCCGCAGGGAGCGCGGGGGAGGGCGCTGGAAGCAACACAGAGCTCCGTTGGAGACGTTTTCAAGATTAGCGTGTCACGTGTCAGAGTGAAATGGCACTAGCCTTACCTTACGGAGACCAGAATGCGCTGAACCAGATGGCATGCCGTACGGGGCCTTCGCAAGAGCCGGTGCACTCTGTCTGTCTCGGCGTCGTGCCGCACGCCACGCCCCTTTTTACCCCCCCCCCCCCCCCCCGCACCCGCAGGGGCAAACGGGCGCGAGGTCAGCGCTGCCCCGCCCCCACGGCCACGCACCTGGGGACCCCTGCACTTGGTGCCCCCCTGCTCTCGGTAACCCACCCTCTCCCCCCTCGTGTGTGCCCCGAATGCTCCTCGCCCCCGCCCCTGCGGATCTTCACGAGCTCGTCGAGCGGGCGATTGCGCACGCGTAGCTCACGATCTGGTACTTCACCTCCTCGACATCCATCTTCGCGAGCCACTTCCCCTCAATCAAGAGGACACGCCCGCCCTCGCCTGTCGGTACGTGACTTCAGGTGTGTGGTCTTTCTGTGCGGCGTCCTCACCATCGTACGGTACCAGTCCTCTCAGAGTGCCATGCGTCTTGAGTGCGATGCGCCAGTAGGCGGGCATCGTCTCGGGGAGATTGAGAAAATCGCACGAGGAGTGGAAGAGCCGCCGCCCCATGCGGAGGTGCCCGTATGCTCGATTGACGTAGGACGCCACTATATTCACGCCTTTGTGTGACGACGGCGTGACCAGGCGGCTCACCTGGCGCTGGTATAAGCTGCGTGTGAATATCTCGATGTCCCGGCAGTGTTGTCCGCCCTCGGGTCGCTCTTGGATGAGCGTCTCGCGTTTTACCGCGTGTCGGCGTGTCTGGTGCAGGCCCTCCGCGTTTGCCGGCGCCTCAAAGAAATTCCACGCGTACCGCTGCCATTTCTCGAGCATTTGGGGTAGGTTGGGCGGCGTCTGCGACTGCACCAGGTACCACGCACAGGATTGCACGTGATTCTTGATGACTATATTTCGGCCCCGTCTTGAGCGAGGCATGCCTCGTCCCACCCATCGCTCATACCGCTTCTCCATCTTTGCCGTCACAGTCTCCTCCCACTTGCGGGCTATCCTCTCTGGGGCGCCGAGGAAAATGCCGAGATATCGGATGAGCGGGCTCGTTGTGTTGATGTCGCGCCCCTCCTCCCACCCCTGCGGCAGGTCGGTCGAGTCACGGAGCGACCCGACCCTCATGCCAAAAGTCTTTGACCATGAGTTCAGCGCGCCCGACCCATCCTCGTAGATATTTAGCAGTCGTTTGAATTCATTGAGCTGGCCGGTGTTTCGTAGGAATATTTTACAACAAGAGAGAGACGTCTCAACTTCGCAGCCTTACGCGGGGCGGTGGCTCGACACCAAACTTGACGGCAGCAACGCCACAACCATTCCAGACGACATATTCATCGGCGAACTTCAGCGCCGAAACGGTCTTCACCTCTCGCAGTGCCGCTCGACTGTCACGCGGGCACTCGAGCTTGGGGACACAGTCGGTGGTGCAAAGGACTACCATGGCGACTGGTTCCTCAACAACGCCGCCCGGCGGCGCCCACACGACGGCGTACTTCGCGCCTGGTACGATTGTGTCGCCGCCGTCTCCATCTCCCGGCCCGTTATGGGAGATGCCGAAAAACCTGAGCTCACCAAGCAGTTCAACGAGGGCTACAAAACCGACCTGGCTGAGCCGGGCGAGGCTCCCGGGGGCAAAGACGAGATCAGTGAGGTCAAACTTTGGACTCCCCTCCGGGGTGGCTTGCCCGTTGGGGTCGGCCGCGCCGACACCGGAGGCAACCCCGGCTCCGTTGGAGACAAGTTCGCCTTCGGCAACACCGAAGAGCGCGCCCGCCTTGCAAACATGGGCTGCAAGCAACGCGGGTTCCGTGGTCAACGTGCGTTCGACCACACCACCGGCCAAGGCTACGTCAAGTCGCAGCGTGGCCACTACCATGACGGGATCTTCGGCAAACGAAACAAGTTCAACCTGCTTCTCCACGAGACATTCGGCGGCGGCTTCTCGCCGCCTGCAGTTGCAAAGATCAACCGCCTTGCGCGCAAGGCTCAACGCTCGGGCGTTGACCGCACCGCGTACCCTCCCCACTCCCGCCTCTCATTTGTGTCACACCACGCGGAACGCATCTCCATCGCTTCGGTGAAGGGGGTGAACCGTGCCATCCTCGATCGCCGTGCTAAGCTCGCTTCCGAGCTCTCACGCCGCGCGTAGGGCCCCTAGGGGCCTAGAGAACACAACCCCCTCTCTCTTTTCTCCCAGTAAGCTAAAAGTACGTACAACAAAACTCCCTCGCACGACACTGGGCACGGGACTGGCTCGCACTGGCACTAACACAGGAAGCGCTCATCGAAAGGTCCATCAACGACTCGCCGCATGCCCATACCCGACCCGCCCGCGCCGGAGGCTGCCACAGCCACCGCGCACCCGCCTGAGTCGCCGCCCAGCAGCAGCGCCTTGCCGCCCGCCGAGGAGGATACTGCCGGCGGGTTTGAGAGGCTGCGGATCCTCGTGGTGGAGGACGAGGACTTTGCGGCGCGGGTCGTGCAGGCGCTCTGCGAGAAGTGCTCCTACGAAGTCACGATCGCACGCTCGGCCGAGGCCGCACTCGACTTCCTCGCCGCCGACGCCGCGCGGCCGGCGACAGAGCAGTTCAACCTGATCCTGGTGGACATCGTGATGGCGCCGGGCCGGATGTCGGGCAAGGAGCTGCTGCTCGCGCTGCGGGTCGAGCGGGTCGAGCGCTGCGTCGTGATGATGTCCGCCATACACCAGCGCGCCATGGTCGAGGAGTGCATCCGGTCGGGCGCAGAGTCGTACCTCGTCAAGCCGATCCGGCTCGAGGACGTGGCGCGGCTGTGGCAGGTTGTGATGCGGCACCACTTCGCGGCGCTCTCGCGCCGGCAGGCGCGGCAGCAGGCGGAGATGGAGCGGCTGCGCGCCGAGACGCTCGCTGAGCGCGAGAGGGTGCGGCGGGAGAGGCTCGAGCTGGAGCAAAAGGCGCCAGATAGTCGAGATATGGTCGAGATGTAGTCGAGATGTAGTCGAGATGGGTCGGGGGAGGCTCGAGCGAGCAAACGCCGCCCGGGCCAGCAGAGACTTGTGGGCTCGGATCGGATCGGCCAGTGCACGAGCGGCGCCCGAATAGGTGCTGCTCGCCGGGCAGCGCCGACTTGTTCCGAGCGGTGAATGATGAGCAAGTGTGGGCTGCTCAGGTGCTGCTCGACCGGCAGCGCGAGCGGATGCAGCAGCAGATGATGCGGATGCTGCGCTCGCAGATGCGGCAGTACTGGCAGCTCGCGCAGACATGCAACGACCTCATCCTCCACGCCTCGCGCCAGGGCGTGTTTCTCTACATGTCGCATAAGTGCAAGCGGCTGCTCGGCTACGCGCCGACCGAGCTCTCCTCCTCGCGCGACAATCGGCGCCGGGTTCACCGAGATGAGCCGAGATGAGCTGAGAGAGGGGAGAGCCCTCCTCCTCTCCGCGCCACCCGCCCCGCCGGGCTGCGAAAGGAGGCCCTCGCACCACCTCGCCAAGAGAAGCCGAAAGACGCCGATGAAGCCGAGATGAGCCGAGAGAGGGTAGGTTGGTGTGAGCAGGCACCGTCCACCCGGACGACCTGGCCGAGCTGCGTGCGCTGGTGGCGCGCGCAGAGGCGAGGGAGGAGGAGGCAGCGGGCGGCAGCGGGGAGGCCGCCGAGGTCAGCCGGCGGTCGGGCGGTGTCGGTAGGCGAGGGAGGAGACGCCCCTCGTGGCCGAGGGCGAGAAGCTCACGCTGCGGGTGCGCGCCAAGGACGGCGCGTTCGTGCCGCTCCGATTCCCCATGTGCGCCCCCCCCCCCCCCCCACCACCACCACCACCACCACCACGAGCTGTGAAGAGGCGCTCTTCACACTTCTCGCCCCTCGCGGGGGTGTGAACAGGTACCCCGTCGCCGAGCCGGGCGAAGTCCGATCCGTCATCGGCGCGCCCGCCGTCGCCGCACTCTGCCTGGGCCGCATCTGCGACCCTCGAGTCGGAGCCCTCCTCAGGCGCGCTGCCGCGGCTGCACTCCCTGGCGGGCAAGAGCCGCCCGCGCGCGCCGCTCACCGACGAGTCCCAGTCGGAGGACGGAGAGGCGCGATTACCCGAGATTCCCCGAGATTACCCGAGATTACCCGAGATTACCCGAGATTACCCGACGAGTCCCAGCTGGAGGACGGAGGCGCGCGACCAGCGGAGAGGAGCAGAGGGGAGCAGAGGGGAGCAGAGAGGAGCAGAGGGGAGCAGAGAGGAGTGGACGGCCGGAGGACGGCGAGGCGAGAGCCTCCTCCCCCTTCTCACCGCCCCCCCCCCGCGCGGTCGTTCTGCGTGAGGGCACCCGACGGCGGCGGCGCGTGTGAGGCAAATCCCTCCTCACTGCGCGCGGCCGCGAGCAGGCGCCCGCCTCCCTCTCCTCGTCCCAGTCCGAGGCGTCCCTCTCCTCGAGCCACCCCGCCGAGTCGCCCTCGCCGCCGTCGCTTCCGGCGAGGAGCGAGTGGGCGGCCTCGCTCGCGCAGGCCGGGCCGCAGGCGGGGCCGGGGCAGGAGCAGAGGTGGCCGAGCCTCTCCCCGCGGCGTGCCGTGGGTGAGTGGAGAGCGCCCCGGCTTGCTGAGCGAATCGGCTGAGAGTAGGTCGGCGTCGCTCTCGCGGCTCCTCGCTGCAGCCTTCTCCACCATCTCGGAGGAACTCGGCGAGGAGGGGGCGGCGGCGGGCGGCGAGGGCGCCAACGGCGGGGAGGGCGTCAGCGGCGGGGAGGGGGCGGGCGGGGACGCGGGCGGGGACGCGGGCGAAGGCGGCGGCAGCACGGCGGACGGCGGCGGCGAGGGCGGCGCGGAGGCGTTCGGCAAGGCGAAGCCGCCCTTCAGCCCGTCGCTGCCGAGGGGAGACGCGGCGCGCGCCGCGGCGAGCAGAGGAGGCGCCGCCCCAGGCTGGGCGCGTCCGTGACACGGCGCCGCGTGTGCGACGCTTGTAGGAGCGGCTGCAGCACGAGTGGGACGCGCTGCTGCACAAGTTCGAGGCGCGTTTTCCTAGACCCTCCCGAGACATTTGCCCAGAGTCGACGGGCGCCGCACCCCTGCACCCTTGCACCCCTGCACCCCTGCACCCCCCCCCCCCCACCCCAACCGGGGTTGGGAGCGCGTGCGCGGCGTCTCTCCACAGCCCCTCGCCGTGGCAGGCGCCGGCGGCGCAGT